CCATTCATTCATTCATTCATTCAAAAAAAAGAATGGAGAGAAGAGACTAGTCTAGGTTCTGGCCTAGTTAAGTCCAGTCAATTCACTCATTTTCCTCCTTCACAAACATCGATTTTACTGGTCTGAATTGTGTATGTGTCCCATTCAGACTTCCAATATTAAATGAAATCTAATTGCTCTGTCATTCTTTCAAGTCCTTTCATTCCTATTCGATATTCTTCCAATGTTTACTCACTCTTTATCTATCCAGTATTTCCCAAATATTTACTTATTTTTGCCTCACTGTCTTTTGCATTAACCGACTGACTGACTGTTTTCCGTTCTGAATTCCATTCGTTCATATCATATGTATGTATGTATGTGTGTATGTGTGTATGTGTGTATGTGTGTATGGCTATACATATGTGCATGAATGTGAATATGTATGTAAGTGTGAGCATGTAAGCGTATTTGTATTTGTAAGTATATTTATGTTTAACATGAGCATATGATGTGAGTGTGTATTATATACGTGCGTGTATGTTGTATTTGTGTGGCTACGTACAAGTATATGAGTGTACGTGTTTATGCGTACGTATATCTGAGATGTTTTCAAAAAAAGACTACTTGGATTTGTGTGTGTGTGTGCGTGTGTGTGTGTGTGTAGGTGTAAATAGAAAAAAATCGTTTGTATGTACAATAATAATAATAGTAAATGTAAACAACAATAATGATAAGAGTAGTGATAAGAATGGTCTGTAGTGATAAAAAGTAATGACAAACTCTGATGCATTTATTATACATCTGAATCTGTGATGATTTGTGTATTCGAGAAAATTGAACTCATAAAAATATTTGAAGTAATAATTGTTAAAAAGCGACAAAAGGCAAAATGATAACAAATGCATTATCAGCATCGATCATTTATTGCAAAATTTATCAATCGATCGTTTTATCATTTAATATAAATATTTCATAAATTGTAAAAAAAAAAAAAAAAAAAAAAAAAAAAAAAAAGGAAAAGTAATAATAACAGATTAATATTTTAAAATCGTCAAAATTTTCAGCATTTAATTTTTTTCCTTTAATTTAAAGTTTGCTTCCTTTTTTAATACATATCTCTTCTTACTGCTTCTTTTTTTTTTTTCTTTGATATAAAAAATTTAATAATACATATGTATGTTTCCTTTTATTTTTTTTTAACCTTTCGAAATAGCTAATTAAATAAATAAATGAAAAAAAGAACTGAGACAAATCAAAATGAAATATTTAAAAAAAATTACATTTGTTACCTTTATCTTTACATTTTCCTTTTTTTCATTAGTCACAATATTTAGTTATTTCAGATTGTTGTCACTTTCTTTTCTTTGTCCATTCCGAAAATCTGAAATTCAATCTTTTCCTTTTTTTTTTTGTTATCAATTTCATGCATTTTGTCTTTTTCTTTCTATTAATTTGCTTAATTATTTAATACTATTTCTATCGAAACAAAATAAAATTGTTAATTTCAATCGTTTCTTTTTTCTCGAAAATTTTTGATATAAGGTAACTTCATTTATAGCATTAATATTATTCCAAAAAATCAATAAGAAAATTTCCTAAAAATTAGTGTTTTAACACAAAAAGAAATTTTTTTTTTTAGAAATTTATTAAAAAAAATTACCAAAATTTTCTAAGTAAATAATGAAACCAAATGGGACTTTTACTTGCTTTTTCCTTTCTTTTTACATTAATAATAGTGATAATGATAATTAAGTTATAAAATTTAGTGATAATGATAATTAAAATTTGGATGTAGTGATAAGATGATAACGAATTTATAATACAGTTGTTTGAATATTTTTTCAGTCTTTGATTTTTATCGAGCAAATTCTATTTCAAATAAAACATATTAATTAATAACTTGATTGGTTGACCTCTCTAATTAACAAAAACATATTAATTATTTTATTTGTTCAATATTATACTGCTTGCCATAATTTTAACTAATGCAAATAAGTAGCAAAATTTTTTCATCGATATACCATTTTTTTTTTTAGGAAAAAAAATCGAAATTTTGAGATTTGAATCACAGAATTAAAATTATAACAGAAATATATTTTTTTCAAAAAAAAAAAGGATGAATTTCGCATGAATTTTGCAATATTTCTCTCCGCTCGAATTTTCAATAAAATTCAAAATTATTTCCTTAACAAAAGTGAGATATTTTCAATTATTCCTAATTAAATATCAGATATTTTGTTTCATTTACTATTTAATTCTGATTTCCATCAATATTTAAACACAAAAAATTTTTGCTCGAATTTTTATTATTAATATTAAAAAAATTTTTTCAAATTATTTATCATTTCACAATATTAGTTATCATTACAAAATTACATATATTTATTTGTCAGATTGCTTTAAATTTTTCCAAAATATTCTAATTAATATTTCTTTTTTAATTTTTAATATTTTTGTCCAAACAAAAAAAAAAAAAAAAAAAAAAAATTTTTTCTTGTTTCTTATCGCTATTAGCAAAGCTTTTTCTTTTCATTTTCTTATATTACTTCAAAAAAAAGCGATAAAAAAAATTTTTAAAAAATGAAAAATTTCACATTTGTTTTATTGAAATTTGAATACAATTCATACTTAAGAGAATATTTTTACCTTATTAATAATAATTTATTCATTTTAGCTATAATTACCATTATTAATAAATTACAGTTTGTAATAATAATCAAATTTAAAAGACAAATATTTAAATTTCATATGTATATATGCGTTTACTCATATTTTTATATTATAATTGATAAAGCAGTTGGACCAGAAAAACTTATATTAATATAAAATTTATTTATAAATATGAATGCATGTGTGTGTGTATGTGTATGTGTGTTTAACATGCTAAGAATAATATAATAAATCTTAAATTGTTTTTACTGTTAATCTTTTTTTTTTTTTTTCATTTTTTAAATTTCCTATTATACTGAATGAAATTTTATTTAATTTTCTGTTTGAAATCAAAAATTTTTTTCCCTTTTTTAAGATAAAAAAATTTTTGCGAATTTTTATTAATTTTATTAATCCATATAAAATATGTAACAAACTTTATTATTTGTCAAATATTTTAAGTATATACGATGAAAAATAAAGTAATCGTCTACGTTACGTATGATAATGTCTTGGAAGCGTAATTGACGTTAAATATTCAATGACATTTTCATATTTCATGCAAACGAAATAAATACATTATTATATTTTCCTCATTTCGTTTGTACCTAAATGCACAATTTGATGAACAGATTTTGTTCTGAAAAGAAAATGCGAATTTTTTCCGATTTTTTTTTTTTCTATTATTTTTTGCTCATCCATTTTGATCATTTATTGTGGAAAATTAAAGTAAATAAGGTTTAGAGTTCCATTAGTTTTCTTTTTTTTTGAATTAAGTTTGCAAATAATATGAAAAAAAGAAGATAAGTTTGAAAATGTTTGAGCAATACAATTAAATTGATTTACTTACATCATTTCTTAAAAAAAAAAAAATGCTTTCCCGGTTTCACTTATTTTAACATTCCGGATTAGTTTCATTCCGAAATCATCGTCATCATCAAATCCTTCACTGTTCTCTTAAACTAATTGTTTCCTATGTTATAGCCAAATGCTTTAATAAAAGAATGCGACATCTCAACTCTTCCGTTATCTTTCCTGAAGAATATTTATAATTGAAGGAATTGCTAAAGAATTACTGAATAAATTTCATTTAATCAAATGAAATCTTTTATAAAATGTTCTTTTTTTCTTGTGCAATTATTTATTTTTTTTTTTTAAAATGCTTTCTAGTTAGATTAGAAAACTTAAATATATGAAAGAAATTAAAATGTTCCCTTAAAAAAATCAATAATTCAATTTGAATCATTTTAAATGATTAAAATCTGTTGACAGTAATAATATGTAATCAAATAATTGTATTTCTTTTAGAATTCATTCATTCCGTTTCCGTTAAAACTATCAAGAGATTAATGCAATTTTATCGCAATGCAATATGTTTTTATCTCTTTTGGCTTACATTTTCAAAATTTTAATGTTAAAACTTTGTTTCTCGCATTAAACTTATCAATAAAATGCAATTAATTTACATCTAAAATTTAAATTCACATCACTTTTTAATCTATTGCATTCATCATAGCGTGTAACAATTCTTTGTTTTTCTTTTTCATTAATCTTTTATTGAATTTCTTGCACTTCTCATTCTGTTTAATTATTTTTCATTTCCTATCATAAACAAATAAACTTCATTAATTTATACTTCAAATTCTCTTTTCCTATTTCTTTTCTTTTTCTTTAAAGAAAAAAAAAAAAATAAATAAATAAAGGAAATGATGAAATTGGAATAAAATAAAGGTAAATTATTTTATTTCTCTTTCGTCATTTCATTTCATTTCATTTCATTCATTTTCGTTTCTCTCTTTTTCCTCTCATTGATAGGAAACGTCATTTTATGAGAAAAATTTATTTCAATTCAATCTCTTAATCCACTTGATCATTTCATCTTCCGTTGTTCTACAATATATCAATCTACAAGTGCGAATATATTGCTGAAAATTTGAAGTCAAACAAAAAAAAAAAGAAAAGGGAAAAAGATTTGCCGTATATATTGTTAAACAATTATAACATATCAATGAGAATTTATAATTAATTATTATCACTTAAAATTATTCAGCTCAATTGGACTTTATCATTAAATTTTAATCTAATTTAACTTATCTTTCAATCATTAAAAATCGTCATGTATTGAATGTTTTAAGATAATTTAGAAATTTTTTAGCTAATTATTTCTATTTTTCGCATAGCATATCAAATTTATTTAAATAATTTCATCTAAAATAGCAAAATATATGTGTGGATGACAGAAGATTACTTAATAATGTAATTTTAAGTGGAATGATAAATGTATATATATATATGTGTGCACATACTTCTTTGATAATAAAATGAAGTAATACAATTTTAAACTAATCTAACTGATTCATATTGCTTAACCAAGAAAGAGAGAGAGAGAGAGAGAAAAAGAAGACGAGATCGAGAGTGAATTGTTGGCTAAAACAATTTGTAAAGATGAATTTTTCACTTCATCCATTCTTCTTCTTCTTCCTTCTCATTCATTTTCCTTTCTTTTCCCAAGCATTTATTGTTCATTATAAAATTGACTATTTCTTATTCTCACCCTTTTTGATAGAAATAACAAATATATAAATGCGAAATATTCAAGAATATTAACAATAATAAAAACTATAATTATGTTAAGTTCTTCTTTTACCGTAGTATGTCGAATGTTGATATATTCTCATAAATATATGCCTGATAAGATACTGATGATAATGACGATGATAATGATAGTAATAATGATAACAGTGGTGAATAGGAGTAATAATAATGATAATAGTGATAAAATAATAATATAGCAGTAATAGTAATGATAATGATTAAACTAGGAAGTCATTGGGGATGTTCTTTGATAAGGTAATGATAATATTAGTGATATTTTTTTGGATTACCAACTTTTGATGCATAATCATAAAAATGTGTTAAATTCACATACGCTGATAATAGAGATAATGATGATGATTGAACTGAGAAGTTATCAGTAATTGCAGTGAGTTTTTTGTAAGTGAAGTAATTTCCTCATTTACCTTTCTTTGATTTTTATTATCGTGAATATATGCCAGAAATGCCCAAAACATTTGTGATGCTACTAGATAGGTCTATTTAAACAAGTCAATCATCAATTGTCATTTCTTGTCACTATGTTACCCCTGTTTCACAAATCATTCATTAAGTTAAACTTCAATAACTGATTTTATATTACAGCATATTCAGGATAGAAATATTGTTTACGAAATTTCACTGATTTTTCTTATATTTTAGGTGACATATTAATTTCTAAAATAATTATTCGATTTTTCTTTTTAGATTTGATTTTTCATTTCGTGTTGTTATGTTAATTTAATCATATTTAAATAAACAAAATTTGAATCGATTTAAAAAAAAAAAAAATAATTATTCAGCAAGCGAGATTAGTTAAAAGAAATGAACTGATAAGTGACACAACAAGTGTGACAATGTTGTTTATGAAAATGATTAAAGTATCATTATCTCATACTTTGTCTTAAATGCATATTAAGACGTAACTAAATCGTTGTATCCGGAAAAAATTTACTAAATGTCGGGAACGGAAAAAGTCAAATTTATTTTGTTTTCCTTTTTCCCCATTTTTTTCTCCTTAATCCCTTGGAAATGAAAAGTTATTAAAAGTATTATTAATACACACACTGATTGGGAAAATGTAAATTCTAATTTCATTTCTTATCTTTTTATCTTTCATCTTTATCTTACTGTTATCTTTTATCACTTTTTTTTTTTAATTTTTGTTTTTATACTCTTTATTACGTTATCCTCCTTTTTTCCTTTTTTTTTTTTTACATAAAAATTTCATACTTTTTATTTGTTTCTTCATTTTTTCAAATTTTGAATTTTACTTCATTAATTTATTCCTTCCATTATGTAATAAATTAAACGAATTGAACTTATGATTGCTTCCGTTTATCTTTTCGTTAAATTTGTTAATTGTTTAATTTATTTATTCCTACATTATGCTCCTATATAATTCGTAAATTTCGATTTCATTACTCTTTTAACTGCAATTAAAAAAATTTTTTGATTACACTAAAATTTTTGCTTCTAAAAATTCATCTCAGATAATTTCATTTCAATAAAAATTTCATTTCACTTAATTTTTTTTCCATCTTTCTTGTCTTGTTCATAAATAAATTAATTTGTTAATTTAGAAATAAATTAGTTGTTTTATAAATTTATTGCATATTTGCGTAACCAAACATTGATTATTTACTGATGTCATTCATTATTTTTGCTGAAATTGAAAATAATTTTGCATGTTTAACATGTAAAAATAGAATTTTCAATTCTTCGAAAGAGTTTTTTTTTTTTTTTTTTTTTTAAAAAAAAATTTTTTTCTAATATTTACTAAATTTTCATTTCAGCACAATTCTGGGAGGAAAAATAATATTATTGTTTGGACAATTATTGCAACTGCAGAAGCTAACATCGACAATTTTGTCGAGATTTTACACTAAAAGTGAAATTGTCTTATAATAACAACAACAATAACAATAAGAAAATACTGTAACAATTACTATTTGTATTCGTTCATATTCATACTATTATACAAAACAAAAAAAAAAAAAAAATAAAAAAAGCTGCTTATTCCTGACAAATTTGGTACTTTCATCCTATTTTATTGTGTTGTTGACAAATAAATTCGATCTTTTGGGACGGAAGGAAAGAAAGAGTGGAATTGAGGAACGATAATTTATACATATCAGTTTTACTTGTTTGGTAAGCTTTTCTTTAAATAATCATGAAAATAAAATATATATTAAAATTTCGAACATTTATTAACGTTAATTAAGATAATACATTCAACTAATACAATTACTTTTCAATTAATGAGGTATTCAAAATAATTTCTTAGCAATTAAGAAAAATTTTCAATAATTATTTTATTTAAAATTGGATAGAAAATTAACAAACTATAAATAATTTTCATCATACATTAATTTTATTTCTTGATATTTCCCATATAAAATTATTTTCGATGAATTTTTTAATAAAATATTTATTTCTACATACAGTTCATTGTAATTTCAACCTTTATTAAATTATTATCTTCCATCAAATACTTCAAATTTATATAATTCTCGAATTATTTTAAAAATTCAAAAATTTATCATTCATTTTTCCTAGCAATTAATCCGGTTGTCAATATTTTTCATTTCTAAATAAAATCAAATTATTTAATTTATATAAATTATCATTTTATATAATTACTCCCTTCTTACACTTTTTGTTTTCTTTTACATTAACTCATTTTTTGAGCTTTTCTTTTATTAACTTTAAAAACAGCCTAAGCTTATTGAAAACTTTCTTATGTAAAAAATTTTAATGGAAAAGACAAGTGCAAAGCATAAATGGGAATATCTGGGGAATTTCCCCAGCACAACACATTTCTTATTTGTTTGCTTTGGTACGAAGTGAAAGAAATGCAAAAATGGTATCAACAATGTTTCGGTCTAATGCTTAATGCTTAATGCTTAATGCTTAATGCTTAGTGCTTAGTGCTTAGACTGATTTATAATTTTTAGTTGATTTACTTTCGATTTAATTTCTCACTGAGTGATATAAATGGAATTTTGTTTTGTTTGCTTTTTATCCTTTTATTCTTTGTTATAAAATGAAAAGAAAAAAATTATAATCATTGATCGAAATAATAACTTTTTTTGCAATAAAATATTTGACAATTTCAATTGATTAAAAGTAGAGAAAAATAAATTAAAGTTTCACTTTTTTTTGTTTCTGTTTTTTTTCTTATTTGTGAAAAAAAAAAAAAGATTTACTGAAAATATGATATATATATATATATATATATATATATATATATATATATATATATATATATATATATATATATATAAATAATAATTTCTATGTAAATTGAAAAAAAAGAAAATTGGATTTAATTTTAGAAATAAAATTTACCAAAAAAAGTACTCTAAAAGAGTATTTCATTGTCCTTTTTTTGAAAAATTTTTTGACAAATGTATTCTAATCCACATTATTTATCCTAACCTTTTCAAACATTCATAACTGTCCAATTAAATTGAAAGTTAAATATACCTGAGATTTTCATGGTGTTTAATTAAAAGTTTCACTATTACCCAAAATAATCACTTGGACATTTGTGAATTACCTGAAAGTTTATATAATTAAGGCATTTTTACTTTTGAATCAGTTATTTCACGTGTTTTTCGAAACTTTTAAAAATTATAAAGCTGAAAAAATAAAAAATGCTTTTTTATAAATATCGTAAGCACTGTAAACAACAACTCCTGTAATAAGTTGTTTACTTTACTTTTCTATTTCTTTATATTATAAATAATGCAAAAATAAGATGTAAAAGAAACTCATTTTTAATGTATTCAGCAATTCAAACTTATAACACAAGTAACACCTCAAATTTAGTAATATTTTAAAAGTTTTCATTACATTTTTATTAGCAATTTTTTCAAAAAAAGCAAAATTTTATTTTCTATCTTTTTTTTTTTTATATACCATTTCATTTTTGTTGTAAAATATTCAAATATGTTCTCGAAATTTTATCCATTTTTCAAATTTTACTTCAAACTAGCAAGAAGAAGCATATTAAAAAACAGTCAGTGATCTGATAAAGCTTACATGTTTTTTGATCAGTTGATCAGTTAATTAATTTAAACAAAATTTTTTCTGCTTTTAAATTTAATTTCTTATCATCTTTCTTTTCTTTCTTGCTAAATATGCATTGATAGATATGTATGTAAAATTTATTAATTTCTTTAAGTGCCAACTTTTTTTTTTTTTTTTTATTTTGAAGTGATTTAACGAAAAGAAAAGGAAAGGAATTGTTGTTGGAATAAATAAAACTTTCAACACGCAACAATGGGTTGCACAATGAGCCAAGAGGAACGGGCTGCTCTCGAACGATCTCGAATGATTGAAAAAAATTTAAAAGAGGATGGTTTACAGGCTGCCAAAGATATCAAATTATTACTTTTAGGTTTGTTGCTTTTTACTGCGTTTGTTTAATTGATTATATCATTTATCTGTTATAATTATTAATTTTTATTCACTTAATTAATTAAAATTTATCATGACTAGCTTCACTAATTATTATTGAAAATGATTGCTTCTGACTTGTTTATTTCAATTTTTAACTAATTATTAGTTCGATCAGTTATTATATTTGTTATTTACGATTGAATTAATTATGGACAATTGAAAAACAAAATTTGCATATTACTTAGCATTTCTGTTTGCTAGTTTTTATTTGAGAAAAGAAAAAAAGAAATATTATTTTAGGTGCTGGTGAATCTGGTAAATCAACAATTGTTAAGCAAATGAAGTATGATCTTTTCCGGAATAGACATTTTGTTAATTTAACAGAGTTTATGTACTAACTTTTTAACTGGTTGAAGCTTGTTACTTGAAAATAAAAAAAAATTTTCCTTTCTGAACTTTGACCTTTACAAAATATTTTATATCAGTAATTCTTGCTTCTCTAATTCA